GTTTATTTTTGTCTCATTCCAAGTAATAGCAAAATTTAAAAAAAGCATTTTGGTCATCGTCTAGCAGACTAGTCCCGCTATTATCTAACAAAAATTCAAGCCTGTTAGTCCAGTTTTAAAAAAAAGTTATTGCGATTTAAGAGATGTTCGAACACTTTTATGGGCCACTATATATAAATTCAGAGAACGGTGTCCACTTTCAGCAGTAAGTTAGTCGAAATTCATTAACAGAAAATAGTCAAATTGACAGGAATAGGCTATAACACTAGGCCAGACGGGGAACAGAAGTCAGGGTAAATAGCGGATAAGCACGATAATAAACTCGTAGTAAGTATTAGGTTCACGCCATATATTCAACGTTAAAGTATGTTCAACGTCGATTTTCTGCTAAATGAACGCGCGCGCGATTAAGTTTTATCTGCGTACATATCTCTTGTCTACTTGTGTTTAGACTTTAGTGTCCATTGGAACTCGTTGCAAGTAGTAAACGTCATTACTTGCTTCAAATACCATTGCAGACAACTGCGTTCTTCCTTTGAACACTATATCATACAATATTTTTATTATCTTTATATAATCGATCTAAAAAAGGCAACGTTTACTCACTTCATGCGTCGAAAATGAAATTTCGGACTGAATTCTACATCGAATTTATTGCTACTCCAAAGTATGTATTCTTCGAATGAATATATAATATATATGTATAAACCAAAAGAGAGCTATATTCGTATATTTCCATTTTCTATTATTCTTATTAGAGAAATATTCAAATATGGTGTTTTGTTCAGTTTTAAATATCACAAAAAATGTAAAAGTTACTTTGAGTGTAATGGAAATATAAAATGGAAATATACTGATATAGCTCCCTTTTGGTTTTTGTTTAAATATCAGTAAAAATGTATAGAAGCACTGTAGGCGGTTTCACCCTATATATTTAAGAAGAAACTTAACGAAACATTATATTTGTATATTTCTATATTAGAAATAATAGAAAATAGAAATATACAAATACGATATTTTGTTAAGTTTTCGTTTGGATATCGGTAACAATGTAAATGTTACTTTTTGAGTTTATAATTATGCACACTATTTTAACTTAATACCTTATTTAATTCCATTCGAAACTGTCGATGACGTGGGAACATTGTAAACTGAAATGATTTTAATCAGATCTTCATTATTTTCGTAATTATATATTATACATTGTCATATTATATATTATCATTTTCGTAATTTCGTTTTATTCATTATCACGTTAATATTAAGCCCTTGTATTATAATTATTATTTCTTGTATGTCTTTATTCACTTCCACTCCTAGATTTCGATAACAAATGAATGAAATTTTGTTTCAATCTAAAAGAAACGAGTAACACTCATATTTAGTGAATTTTGCATAAGATCTTCGTCACAAGACTGACTCATTGTTACAGTGCAAGGGATTAATGAAAAAGAGAACTTTACATATATGTAACTCTAACCTAAAACAATACAAATTCCATAATAATCACAGTACAGTTTCTTAAATAATTTGCCCTTAGAAAATGTTGTATTAAACAGTAAAATTTTAAATTGGAAAAACTTTAAATAAAAACAATGAAATCTCTCGATGGTTCGACGAATCATTTAAATTTTTGTATTTCGGTACAGTTGAATAACTTGTACGATTACAGCAGCTTTCATCTTGATTTCCGACGTAATAAGAGCCTTATATCACACCGAGGCGATGCGACAAGATCAATCAGCGCCGTTTGAAGATGAAGATCACAACCCTCGGAGGCTCGGCATGGCCACATTAATAAAGTTCAATCCTCGGGACCGCATAAAATTAGACCACCCAGATCCACGCGTCTATTCAAAACAGCATAAATTACGATTTCAAACAAACTGTCACTTAAAGGCAAACGAATGATTAACATTTCCAAAGAAGATGTTACTTAGGCCGGTCGGCGTGCGGCGGAGCCTTTAATCATCAAACGATTACGCCCGTCGCGATCGTAAATATCATATATCCCGGCGGTTCCTCGAGTCGCGTCCTTCTCCCGCGTCCCAGCGTTTCGAAGACCACTGCGGCGGATCTGTCGCCGTTACGCATCGGTCGATTTCCCGTGTCATCCGCGGCCGCGAGTTGGCAGATCGCGCGGTTCTCGACAATTAACATTCCTGGACACCCGCGAATCACGGGCCGTGGATGCGTATTCTCCTTGATCCGCCCAAAAATCATTGGCTCCGCTTCCACATTCCAGGCGTAGCCAGGATATTATTTTAACCGGGACTCGTCGAAATCAAGTTCGATCGGCTGCGGCATCGACTAACGGGAACGCTGGCCGACGTTTATTGCAATTTAGTGCCAACGAGTCACTTGCCAATCAATTTCGGGATACAAAAATCAATATTATTGTATAATGATGATTAATATTATATATAAAATCTTATATAATATGTATAATAATAATATAATAATAATATAATAATAATGTAATAATAATATAATAATAATATATATATATAAAATATCAATATCGATTGCAAAACATAGCTGCCACAAAATTCGTCTCTCTTAAATAATCTTAATAAATAGAAATTATCTAGTTATCCAATTATGTTTATTACAACGTATTTGTTATTTAGTTGTACATTTTCGTAAATGTAGTGGACAATGCAAAAATCCTTATTTTTTGATTCTGACACATTTTTATTTCGTATACATTTATTGTTTGTTTAATTAGTTTGTTCTTTATGCATTTTTTATTGTTCTTTTGTTGTGCTTTTTTTTCTTTTATACATTGCTTTTTAGTCTTTTCTGTGGTTACATCTTCTGTTATACACTGTATCAACATGCCCCAGAGAAAAAATATCAACCTGCCCCATAGGAGGTCATTTTATAAAAACGAAACAATATGGACCATATAATCGAAGTAATGAAACGTAATTATCTTCTCCTCGAATCGTTAGAAGAAAATTTAGCAAATTAATTTTTTTACAAATCAATAATTCACGTTCAACTATCTTTTTAACTCACACCTTCTTATATGATTTAATGATAATTTAATAAAATGATAATTAAAATCTTATATGATTTAATCGTGTTTATAATAAAACAATCTCACACAATCACACTTTTAACCACTTGCACCGTAACAACGAGTCAAACTCGTGACGAAGATTTCACACATGAATGCTATTCATTTCTTGTGTATTGAAGAATGGTTGGTATTTCTGTTATCAATGTCTGTAAATGAAAGAGGATAAAAACATACAGAAAACAAAATTTGTCTGGTTCTATTATGAATATTGTTAAGACAAAGTGCCACTCAACGTAGTTGTGCAAGAAATCGTAGTGCAAGGAATGACGTTTACATAGATAATATTAAACTTTTTTTGTTATTACTTCTAGTGCACCAAGTTAATTTAAATATACTTGAAAACATATAAAGTCTGATGACTAAATAGCAAATCTTTGTGCAAAATAAAAATTGTCGTCATCAATTGAAACAAACGTGAGTCAGATAGAAATTGCTTCCTTCCTTAAACAATTTCAGTCAGTTGAAAATAATACATAGATGTCCTTAAATTCTTTTAATGTTCTCATTCTCTTAAATTTCACCTAATCATTTTAATCATAAATGCATAAAATCCGCAGTCTACTGATGACCATAGATTAACTAAATATAGGATATAGAAGAACGTATAGTCCTCGCACGACAAGAAGACACCTTTGTATTTACATTCCCCCTCTTACTAACTGCGGCAGTGGGGGGCAGCTAGTAAGAGAGGGAATGTAAGCCCAGAATTGCCTCCTTGTCGTGCGAGGACTATACAATCTCATCTACCTTTGGATATAAAATATAGAAAATATAATAAACATAGATAAACTGAACAATCAAATCTAACTTCGATTATAAAATATATAAGACAAACAAAAACATAGATAAAATAAATAGATGATATAGTGCAACAAACAATTTAATCTATGTTTTTGGATATAAACTATATAAAATATAATAAACAGAGGAACAAAAAACAAAATCGCAATTATAAAAACAGAAACTATAACATATTTTATATTATTATGAAATATAGTTTGTGATCGATTCCAGTTAGTTAATCTTTTATAAATCTAAGCAGACAGTGCTTCTTAACATAATAATCGTTCTTCTTGTTTATTCTCGCTTAAGATAAATAATTATGAAGAACTGAAATTTAAACGGAGAAATCTAATTTTCATTGCACATAGTGTACAGTAACACAGTTTTCTTACATGTATACATGTAAAATGCATCGTATTCATCGATAGTAGCGAAAGTGTTAAAAGCTCGCTTGGCTTTTCTGGGCGCAAGAAATTATTTCCTTAGTTACATAGCTTCACTAAATGGATTATCCAAAACGAGACTTGCCCTTAAGAGTAAGAGCATTAACCGAAAATGCATACAGCACTTGCGTAAGTCACGTTGTCATTCTTGGCGACGCGAATAAGTCGTTAATCGTGAAACAAAAATCGTGTTTGAAATTTTTATGATTTATTTATAGGTTATGTCACTTATCTTTTGTATTTTTTGTGTACTTAAAAAATCTTTTTTCGACATACAAAAAAGAAAAATATTACTGCTATGCAAATTTGATTCAAGTGTCGAAAACTTTGAAAAAACTAATATTCATCATCTGCGAGCTCCCCCTTTCCATCCCATTTTTTTCAATTCACGGTCACTCTGATACTGTAATTAGGGTAAGGCAGCAAAAGCCGCGTAATCCATTTGGCACTTAATGATCCGTACACAAGAATCTAGTTTTATTGTAAATTTTCAGAAAAATCATTATTACGCTCTTGTCCCATTTGGGGGGAAAGTGGAAAGTGACGTAATTATGCCCGAAAACAAACCAAAGGGCGCAGCAGTTGGTCACCCCACAGTAACCGGCTCTACTACCCTGTTGCGCGGACCGCGGATTTTTCTGTCCCATCGAAGTAAAGCTGTTAATGTAACCATTGCATTCATTGTGCAGACAACGGGCCTTGCCTCGGCTGGCGAGACGGCCTCAACAAACCGTACCAGTGGATGCACTACAACGAAACTCTGCTCAGGGCGAAGAATTTCGGTTCAGGACTGGTATGTCACGGCCTCGCACCGGGCTCCCACACCCTCGTAGGCCTCTACAGCCAAAACTGCCCCGAATGGATCCTCACCGAGCAGGCCTGCTACACGTACTCCCTCGTGATCGTTCCTCTCTACGACACGCTGGGTCCAGACGCATGTGCCTTCATCATCAACCAAGCCGAGATCAACCTAGTTGTCTGCGAGAACGATAAAAAGTGCAATTTGTTGCTTGACAAAGCGCCAAGGTATGTGCATTTTCATATTATGCGAGGAAGTTCCTCTAGTTCCGGACATTGAATCTATTTTCGAAAATTGAAACGCTATCAAATTTGCTAGAGGAGGCGCATTTTCGTACAATCCAGTAGCAAGTAAGAGCAGAATAAGGGATGATACAGGTTCTGCTACTCGCGCACTCTGAATTCATCTTCTGTGTCGGTCGTATTCACCTTTCTTCGAGTTAAGTTCGTCCTTTCGCGAGTCATATTCGTCTATTTTTTGTAACTAAATTCATCCCCTTGCAGGTCGTATTCGCCGTTTTTCAAATCAAAGTCATCCTTCTGAAGGTCGTGTGCATTATTTTTCAAAATAAATGCAGCCTTTCGCAGGTTATGTTAATTTTTCTACAGGTTATGTTCATCTTTTGCAAATCGAATTCATTTCGTAGCTGTCTCGAGAGTGAAGTAACGTGAATATAACTTCAAATACTCTTCGCTAATTGCTTCGGAGATTGCCGTAGAAGGGCGGTGTTGGTATGCATGATATAGGAATCGCTGACGGATCAGGTGATTGCGAGAAAGGCGTCGGTTCAGTAGCCATCTACCGGCGAATGTAGGAGGCAGTCGCTGCATGAGGCCCCACGAGATCTAGGAACTGCGTGTCCTTGTTCATCGGGCAAGGATCATGTATATACGCGATGTTTCCAAATGGAATTAAGTTGAACGAAGTCGCTGGTTGCTTTTATGTACACTTTAACCCTTTGCACTCGAAGTTTTTTTTGAGTCATATTACCAGCAACTCGAAGCCATTTTAGTGAAAAGATCATATTCACATGTAAGTTCATGATATAAGCATTAAAAGAAAAGCCATCGTTGTATGTTATTATTTTTTTAATTGTTTATGGATACAAACGTCATTTGTCACCAACAGCGAAACATCCTATAACTAATTTTTACGATTTGTTTTTGTTCTTATGTTAAAAACTGAAAATTATTTGCATTGTCTCCGTAGCGGAGCCCTCGAGTTTGAAGACAAATTTTAAATGGCTCCGCTCCGGAGCCCTCGAGTGCAAAGGGTTAATATTACAGTACAGCTATGGTCTTAGCGATGCGTTATTTGCGTTTTATCTGCGTTCTTAGAGTTCTACGAGTTCTGGGAGTTCTAACAGTTCTGACTAACGTTCTAGGTGCCCTTCCGCTTGTCACCTCGGTTTTTTTGTTGATTGGTGGATGGTGGGTTTTGGTGGAGGAAATGAAGCGTTTTTGATTGGAGATGGGTGTGTCGGAAGGAACTTGAAATGAGGAGTGGGAAACTGTTCGAAAGTTCGGGTTGTAATTTTTCCGTTTTGTGAAATATGGAATTTATGAGTC